TCATCTAAATCTGTCAAATCATTTGGAGTAGGGACTAGGCCCTTCCTCCTGCCTCTGAGCTAAGGGAGTATCCCTCCATGTGCTCCCAAAGTCCATTTGTGCACCAGGAAACATCCTGGTTCCACTGTCAGAGGTCCCTTAGACTGCCCAGGCCTTCTAACTGAGACCCATGTTTAGGGGGTCTGAGTCGGTCCAATGCTGGACTCCCACCTATCTGTTTGGGGGCCCATTAGCTCCACCTTGTTCAGGTCAGCTGTCTCTGTGAGTTTCTGTAGCCTGGTCTTGTCCTCCCTCTCTGCATTTGCATTCCAATTTGGTTCAGTGTTTAGCTGTGGGTGTCTGCTTCTATTTCCATCAGCTACACTTTCTTAAGTGTGTTTCGGCCATTTTTAATTCCTCTATTGAAAATTCTCTATTTAGTTCTGTACTCCAATTTATTATTGGATTATTTGGTGCTTGGGTGACTAGCTTCTTGATTTCTTTGTATATTTTGGAGATTGGCCCTCTGTCAGATGTGGGGTTGGTGAAGGGTTTTTTTGTTTGTTTGTTTGTTTGTTTGTTTTTGGTTTTTTTTTCTTGTTGATTATGTCCTTTGCCTTACACAGTTACAAAAGGCACTTTATTAATTGTTGATCTCCGTGTCTATGTTTGCTAGAGGAAGTGGTCTCCTGTACCAATTCATTCAAGGATACCTCCCACTTTCTCTTCTAAGAGACTCAGTGTGGTTGGATTTATGTTGAGGTCTTGATACATTTGGACTTAAGTTTTGTGCATGGTGATAGATAGGGATCTAACTTCAGTCTTCTACAAGTCAGCATCCAGTTGTGCCAGCACAATTTGTTGAAGATGCTTTCATTTTTCCATTGTATAAATTTAGCTTCTTTGTCAAAAATCAGGTGTTCATAGGTATGTGGGTTAATATCATGGTTTTCAATTTGATTCCATTGGTCTACCTGTCTATTTTTGTGCCAATAACAAGCTAATTTCAGGACTTTAGCTCTATAGTAGAGCTTGAAGTCAGTGATGGTGATGCCTCTGAAAGTTTCTTTATTGTGCAGTGTTTTAGTTATCCTGGGTCTTTTTTCCATATAAATTGAGTATTATTCTTTCAAGGTCTGTGAAGAATTCTGCTGGTATGTTGATGGAGATTGCATTGAATCTGTAGATTGCTTTTGGCAAGATTGCCATTTTTACTATGTTGATCCTACCTATCCAAGAGCATGGAAGATCATTCCATTTTCTGATATCTTCTTTGATTTCTTTCTTGAAAGATCCAACGTTCTTGTTGTACAGGTCTTTCCCTTGTTTGGTTAGCATTACCCCTGAGATATTTTATGGGTTTTTTTTGTTTGTTTTTTGGGTTTTGTGTGTGTGTGTGTGTGTGTGTGTGTGTGTGTGTGTGTGTGTGTGTGTGGCTGTTGTAAAGGGTGATGTTTCTCTGATTTATTTCTTAGCCCCTTTATTATCTGTATGTAATAGGACTACTGAATTTTTTTCAGTTAATCTTGAATTAACACTTTGCTGAAGATGTTTATCAGCTGTAGGAGTTTTTGGTAGTTTTTCAGGTCACTTATGTAAACTGAAAATAGGAAATGTTTGACTTCTTCCTCTCTAATTTGTATCCCATTGATTTCCTGTTGTTGTCTTATTGCTCTAGCTAGAACTTCAAGTAAAATATTGGAGAGATATGGAGAGAGTGGACAACTTTGTCTTATTCCTGATTTTAGAGGAATAGCAATTACTTTCTCTCTATTTAGTTTTATGTTGGCTGTCATTTACTTTATATTGCTTTTACTATATTTAGGTATATTCCTGAAATTAAGTGACTAATTTTTCTATGATCTTAACCAGTGCCACAGTTGTAAGATTTGGTACAATTTTATTATAAGTTACAAGTAAGTATATCTAAGTCATACTTTTACATGAGAGTATGTGAGAATAAACCATATAAACATTATCTGTTACATTTAATTACGATTGGTCAAGAGACTCTTCAACTTTTTTAATGGCATATTCACTTACCAAAAGTATCAATATATTCTTTAATATTTAAACAGGCAAGACTTAAGAAGATACAATAGTCACTTACTAGCCCAGAAATAATTAGGCACCACATCCCACAGCATCACTAAGCAACAGCAATTTGGAGCAACAGCCACTTGGAGATTCCCAGCATCAGGATGCCAAAGCTCATGTGAATATTTATTCCACCCATAAGCTTGTTCAATGCAGGTGATTGCTGTAACATAGCCAGGCTTCAATGGGTCATTTTGGAGGAAAGGATAACTATGTTGAAAGGAAGGTTGTTTTTACATTCCATTGTAATTAAAATATGCTTTGTCAGGCAAAGCCTTTTGTCTGGTGAGGATTCTAAGAAACAGCCATCATGTGAAGTCATTGCAAAATAAATAAAGAGCAAAAGGAAGGCTGCAAACTAAAACAATAAGTACTATGGGAAATATTAAATAAGAATTGGGTGATATATTTGTTTTGCTAAATAAATAAATTCCTATTAGATTAAAAATATTTCACCACCTTCTTTAAATACATATTCACTTATTAAAATTAAGGGAAAGTATAAGTATCATTAATACCAATAGACTGTCAAAACTAATTTGAATTTCTATATAAAATGATTGTGTTGGATATATTAGATATAATCAGTATAAAATTCTGACTTTAAAATTATCTCAATCAAGTTTAGCCATTAAGTCATGAGTAAGTGGGGTTGGGTAGATGACTCAGTGGGTAAAAACACTTATTACATTCAAATTCCCAAAATTCTTGACAAAAGCTGGGTGTAGTCACTTATGCACCTGTAACTCTAGTGCTTTAGGAGTTTAGAGGTTGAGATTTCTGGGGCTTGATGGCCACCAGCCAAGTTACAGGTTCAGTGAGAATTTTTGAATTGACTAAGACACAGAGTGATAATACATATCCTTCTCTAGCTCCTGTGGCCCAAGCATGAATACCCACTAGCACACATGAACATATACTGCACATATATATCACACATGCACTCATTCATACACACGCGCGCGCACACACACACACACACACACACATACATACACACACACACACAAGTCACTCACTCTCAAACACCAAAGTTAAATTATTTTTTTTTTAAAGGTAAAGGTAAATTAGCTATTTTATGAAGGAGAAAAGATGAAGAATTAAAAAAAAAAAGTTGGTAACAGGACTTATGGACCTTCACTGAGTCTTTAAAATGAATGTGCTGCTGATCCAAACTCCTGGAATCCGGTTTCAGAGAGGGAGGAGAGACAAACAAAGAGTTCATGACCATGCTAGGAAAAGCCATAGGAACAGGTAACCTGAGCAAGTGGGAACTCATGGACCCCAGACTGGGGAACCAACATAGGACCAAACCAGACCCGCTGAAAGTGGGTGTTAGCTAGGAGGACTGGGCAGTCTCTGAGATGTCTGGCAGTGGAACCAGGATGTATCCCTAATGTATGAATGGATTTGGGAGCCCATTCCCCGTGGAGGGTTACTCCATTAGCCTAGAGACACAGGGGAGGGCATAGTCCCTACTCCAAATGACTTGACAGATTTTGATGATCTCTCATGGAAGGCCTCACCCTGCCTGGAGAGTGGATGGAATATGGCGGGGGGGCAGCAAGGGGCATGGAAGGTTGGTAAGGAAAGGGAAATTGATATGTAAAATAAGAAAAGTATATTAAATAACAATAATAAAAGAAAATGAATGTGCTGTAAAGGATAGATAAAATAGACAGAAAAGTATTCCAGTTGAAGGAAAGATTCTGTACAAGATTTTGTTGATGAGACTTGCCAATCAAATTTTTTGGAGTGATCTAATCATTCATAGCTGAACATTTCCCCCAAACACACTCAAGATCACTGAAAAGCATTTATGCTCAAGGTTGCCATTTAGTATAGGGAAGGAAAAGAAATTAAAAGATTGGAAAAAGATTCATAGGACATGTCCCAGCAGTCCTGGTGAAACTAGGACTAGCTTCCAGCTCTTCTCTTTTGGCAGCAATGTGTGACAACCCAAGTGTTGTCAACCAAGGAGCTCACCATGCTTTTATTTCTAGGATTCTCACTGAGGATCAATTCTGCAGGAATGGAATATTCCTGCCATTGGTCATATTTGTGACTTAGGCTTCAGGTCTCCTGAGTCAAGCTATTCAGAATGAACCATGGATCTATCCTGGAATAAATTCTGACATTCACAATAAGTCATGCTGTCAGCATAGTTTATCCTGTATAGTTCAAGAGTTAAGATAATGCCTTTATTAAACAGGTTATACCAAGGTTTAAAGCAATGGTTCTCAACTGTAGGTTGCAACCTCTTTCTGGGTCAAATGAATCTTTTACAAAGGCTGTATATCAGATATCCTACATACAAGAAATTTATGTTAAATCCATAACAGTAGATAAATTACAGTTATGAAGTAACCATGATTTTATGGTTGGGGGCACAAAGACATGAGGAACTCTATAAAAGTGTTGCAGCCTTAAGAAGGTTGAGAACCACTGGTTTAAATGTTGTCTCTTGGAAGCTGTTTGAAGACTCAAATCTCTGATTTTAATACACAATCAAGAGTTTTTGAAATGGGGATGCATAAATAAATAAACAATAAATCTTTTTTTTAAATGCTGACTACAAATGATTTGAGTGCATTTATTTTAGTGATTAGTTGGAACAATGAGGGAAAGATATCCAACATTATATAATAGTGATTTGTTTATTTTGCTTAGAGTTATGTCAGCATTGTGTAGTGTGTTAGCCTTACAGGATGTTTTTTCTAAATGTAATGCTGACAGTGGAACAGTGAATGGGTGAGTCACGTCACTCAATGAATGGTACACTTGTGTTTCAAGTACTCAGTTCAGCTGAAGAAAACTGATGCTGATGAAAATCCTAGAGCTGCCTATTTACCAGTCTTTCTTTCTGTTCCCATCCTTACCTACTATGCTTCCTCTCTTCAACTACAATGGGGTCTTCTTTGAAGATGCTCCAGTGGATTCGATCGCCACCGGCAGGACTGGGTGGATAGTGGATGTCCAGAAGAAGTACAGGTGTGTTCTATTGTAAAGCACTGGGACCAATTTTACATAACTTGTGACTCCAACACTTCATTAGAATGGTATCTAATTTAGTTACTTAAAAATCTCAAGGCATTGAAAGGGAATCTCTAATGTATGCCAAACATTGGGGCTAATGGCTTCAATTATTACCACAGTTTATTCTTACCCATCCTATGAAGAGACACTGTTATCATCATGAAGAAAAGAAGGGGTGAAGGAATGTAGAGTTGGAGTGGATATGAGAGCCAAAATGACTAGGTACCTACATATGGAGCTGGACTTGGATGCACAAAAAACAGGTTTCCTAAATGTTTGCTCATTTTTTCATTTAAGTTGTCAGTGCTCCTCTTTTAATCTCAAATAGCTAAATAATGGTATGGGGGGAAGATTAATAGTAGTGATTGGTGCACTGTAGTAAGTGAGAAGTGATATAACAGTAGGGTAATGTAATTATCATTATTTTTTTTTTACAAGAAAAAGAAATTTCATCCTATCTAAAATTTTCCTGACTCTTAGTGCCTGTCATTCCAGCATCCCCCTAAGTTTTATACTGTTTATTAAGTGTTTCTTGTCCCTTATTAAATGTATCTGTATAAATGTATGTGTTCCACATGCATGCTATACTCACAGTGGCCAGAATATGGCAGTAGGCCCCTCCATCAGGAGATGGAGTTACAGAGAGTAGGGAGTCACCTGATGTGGGTGCTGGGATCCAAATTTCTGTTTTCTTCAAGAGTATTGTGCATTCTTACCACTGAACAATCTCTCTAGATCCCTCCTTTGTTAAGGTTTAAAGAATAAATTGTAATGACAATCAACTATGACACAAATTTTCTCATCTAGTGAATCTAGTTAAGCCACAGTGCTACTGTAGGAACTATAAGAAATAAGGTTTTTCCGCCAACCACTGGTCTTGTTCTGCTGCCACGCCAGCCCCAAATAACACACCAAGACACTGTATTTGATATAATGCTGTTGGCCACTTACTTGTTTCTTATTGGCTAGCTCTGTCTTAAATATTAACTCATTTTTGTTAATCTATGTATTTCCAAGTGGTCTTACCGGAGAACCGGCTGGCGTCCTGCTCTCTCCAGACTCTACATCTTGACTCCTCCTTACTCCTTCCTCTTTCCTCCTTGTCTCCTAGTCCCTCCTCTCTTGCTTTCATATTGGCCAACAGTGCTTTATTCATTAACCAGTATGAGAAACATATTTACAGAATGATATCTCCCATCATCTCCTCTTCTCTATCTAAATAAAAAGGGTTTTAACCTTAACAAAGCAAAATATGTAACACAACACTTATCAAGTAAGAATCACAGTTAACAATATTCAGTCCATTAACATTTGGTAAGATTTAAGAAAATATTCCATCATCTAGTCTATCTTTGTGAGTCTAAAGTCCTATATGTAACATATCTTTAATCCTAACTAAGGAAATCTATAACCATAACTATCTGTCTACAACTCCTTTAAAGACCGCAGAAGGATAGTATATAAACTCAAGAAATGACAGGACAACTCACTGCCTGGTAAATCACCTGAAGTTCTGTAATCTTCCATCTTCAGCCCATAGGCCATAGTGTGTCTGGCAGACTCTTCAGCAAAGCAGGAAAGTTTAAACTGTCTTCTTGTATTGGCAGTTTGTCAGTCACTTTTCACTGCGTCCTGAAGACTGGCAGAATCTTCCATGAAGCAGGAACTCTGTAGCAATGTCCATCTCGAATCAGCAGTCACTTTTCTGTGGGTCCTGCATGTTTAGTTTATACATCACCAAGTCAAACAGTCCCGACAAGAGCAGTATCTTGCCCAAATGGCTAGTCTTGCCATACTGGAAGCAAACTCCATACATGTTTCTTCAATGTCCATCTTCCTTTCTGACATAGGTGGGGTTGCCAGGAGCATTTATGCCTCACTGTCAAGAAAATGACATTTTAAATGCCATATTCTGTAGGTCTTTGAAAGGTTTGAAGAATTCCTACGCATCTCAAATACATATCTTGAAAACCTAACTAACTTAACTCTAAGCTTTGACTATCATAGGTAATTATCTATAATCTGTACTAAATTATACATTACATTCCTAAATGAGCTATATAAACACAATACCTAAACAAGAGAAATATAGATATCACAAATCCCCCCAATGGGTGTGGTCAGTGCCACAGAAGGAGATAAAGTGAATATCCCACTAAAATTCCCCTTTTAGTCTAAAGAAAAGATTTAGGCTTGATACAAATCAGTGAATAACAAGTGTGTTCTAAGGAAAGGAAAATCGAGAACAAAACGTCCTACATATCTAGTCCTAGGGTGAAGGCATAATGGAGTTTACAATAGAGTTTTCCTAAGCTGAAAAACTTAAGTCTAGTACCTAATATATCTAACTAGAAAGAGAAAATAATAGTTGTGATAGTTTAATCTCCAACCTCATCAAGACCTGAGAAGGAAAATAACAATACTGGTAGACAGAAAGTGCGGGTGGGCAACTTCCAAAAGGTGCAGTGAGGACAGAAATAGCAGGCTACCTGGGCAGTCACCCAAGGTCTCACAGCAACGTTGATACACCCAGTTTTGGCTAAGGCCAAGAGTACTTGACAGACCACCACAACAGCAGGGAGGTAGGAAGGCTGTCTTACACTGACTTGGCAAGGTTCAGCAGTCTTCTATATTTGTCTCCTGCAAGCACATAGGACCGCATGTCCAAATTGGTGGTCAAGGTGGGAGCAGTTCTTTGCCCAAGAGGCCATTAGCCAAAGCAAGGATGAACCCCCAGAAGGAGCAATAACAGCATCCAACATATTTTTGGGAAAGTGCTTGGTGCTTTCAGGAGCAATAGTGGTGTCTCATGTCAACAGAGTACTAATATTAAAACATTTAAATGCCTTGTTCTGCATGTCTATGAAGTTATTGAAGATTAAGCATCTGTGTCTGACTAATCTCATAATTAAAGGAAACATGGATGAAGATAACCTGTAATACTCAGGAACATAGCTAAAAAAAAAAAACTGATTAAAACTTCCTTGAGTAAAGCAGGGATAAATACCTAAACAATATAACTATGTACATACATATATATATGTATATATATGTATGTATGTATTCCTAAATAGAGGTAGAGTAGATATGTCTAGAGGTAGAACTATAAAGGGCAGCATGATAAATACCCCCAAATGTATCAATATACAAAATGTCTTGAATACAAGAAAAGTATACATACATAGAATATGGCAAGACTAAATGTGCATAAATTGTATTAATAAATGAAAATCCATTCCAAAACAAAATATTTATGTCTATACCATAATCCCCTTTTTACCTTTAAAAAGAGATTGGCTGTGGTCATTAACCATTTATAACCAACCCCATTTAAATGAAAACAAACATTTATAAACAATATTTGGGAATTTGGGCGTCATTCTTTCCAAACTGCTTCCTGCTGGTAAGGGGCATTGTCATTGGGGACCCTAAGAAGATGCAGAAATCCTAGCTGTAGCTTTTTGAAAATGCACTTGTGGTTGCCAGACTCACAAACATCTTGAGAAATACAATTTTGAAAACATTGTGGGGCTCGGAATACACCACAGTGAACAGTTGCTTTGCATGTATGAGACCCTCAGTCAGATCCCAAAATAAAATTTAAGATTTGTAAATAAAAAGAACTCTTGAAAGTCAACATGGAATATACATATAATCCTAGCATGAAGGAGGATATGAATTTGAGGCTAACACAAGATTCATGGTGAAACTCTGTGTCAAAAATCCTATCAACTAACCAGCCAATATTGTTGAGCTTTTAAATGTACTATTGCTATGGATGGAAGCTTTAATCTGATTTTTGACAGTCACTTGGGAATTATCTCAATTATCTCAATTATCTGACACAGTTCCAAAGAATACATATGGATAATCTCATGATTATGCTTTCACATCCTTGTTTGCTCATTGTCTTAGTCTTTCTGCTACTGCAGTGAAACACCATAACCAAAAAGCAAAAAGTGAAAGAAGTCAGGACAGTTACCAAAATAAGGCAGGAATATGGAGGCAGGAGCTGATACAGATGCCATGGAGGGATGCTGTTAATTGGCTTGCTCCCATGCTAGCTCAACATGGTTTCTTATAGAACCCAAGACCTGCAGCACATGGATGGCACCTTCCACAATGGGCTAGTTCCTCCCAGACCAATCACCAATCATAATTAAGAAAATGGCCAACAGTAGGATTTTATGGAGGCATTTTCTCAGTTGAGGTTTCAGATAATTCTAGCTTGTGTGCCAAGTTGACACACATTTTTTCTCTCTCAAAAGATCATTGAAACAAATGTTCATAATTGTATATAGGTTCAGAATTTGATCTAGATATTTTAGTTTTCTTGATCCAGAGTACTCTCCCTATAAGCCATACAAGGCAGAGAAAAGTTTCCTGAGTGCAATGGTGGATAATTCACCATGCTCTGTGGACTGTGATATCATTAAAGAAAGTCAGAAGCTAATGCATTCTGTAATAATCCATGTTTCCTGTTTTCTGTAATTATCCACATCACCAGCTTTGTGGTAAGCAATCATTGATTCACAGGTAAGTACAAAATTTCATCAACTCAGTCCACTTTCCTTGCATACAATGAGGGTACAATATTCTCTAGGGTATAGGATAGTGAGCTTCAGAAATGAAGAAACCACAACTACAGAACTGACACAGACAAGTGAAAAAAGAACACTGTTTCTTGGTGATGAATCTACTCTAAGAAGTTGTTAATTTAAATAGGGAAAGCACCATACAATACTGGGAACAAACATGCTCTTGGTCATTCATAGTGCTGTTGCTTACATTTCATGATACAATTGCATGCATTCATGTTCACATTGTATTTAAGAATTACAGTAGTGTTATTAAAGTGTTACAGATTTTTTAAAAAGAATATCTGAAAGAGTTTCTTCGTTCTGACTTCCATTAAGCCAACTAATTATTTTACCAGCACCACCATCACAGGGTTCCCCACATTAGTCTAAATGACCCACAGCTCTGGCCTGGACTGTCCTGATAGCTGTCATATTGACCTCTTTACTTCACAATCTACATCTAGAGTATTTTTTTTCCAACACAGTATTTAAATATGATACCTCCGACTAAGAAATCCACCATGTTGCATGTGATGCTCTACTTCACTTAACCAAGTGAGCTGGTAACTTGTCCTGCATAATGAATACATTTCACAATGTACTTAGCAGGAACTCCTTAGTTTTATGGGCATGTGTTTTATTTAAAATGTCTATTTCTTTTGGTGTGTGTGTGTGTGTGTGTGTGTGTGTGTGTGTGTGTGTGTGTGTGTGTGTGTGTGTGTGTTGCCTGCATATTTTGCTATGTAAGTGAATTGCTAGAAGAGGGCTTTGAATCCCCTGGAATAGAAGTTATAGATGATTGTGAGCCACCACGTGGGTACTAGGAATTGAATCTGGGTCCTCTGGAAAACAGCCAGTGCTCTTAATTACTGAGCCATCTTTCTAGCCTCTACTATCAATATTTTATAAATATATTCCTCTAAGTATTTTAATCCTTGTCATTCACATTAACATCTTCATTATATTGTGAGATGTGTTGACACGTTTATTTCTGAATTTCACTTTAGTTTCAGTAGCATGTGCAAGTTGATCATTGTCCTCGCTCTCTGTCAGACTCCTTGTTTGTATTTCTTTTCATATCCTGTCATTGGAAATGTACATTAATTTCATCTTAGTCTGTGGGAATTCCTAATGCCTGGGTATATTATGCCTAGCCAAAGAGAGTTTGCCTATAGGACTCATAGATTTCAGGATACCCCTGGTTCTGCCTTCACAGGAGGAAAAATATTTATACTTATCTCCCCATCTACTGCTGATGAAGGCTGGTCTCCTTTAAGCAATATTGATATTGGCAATTGTTCCTCCAGGGCAACTCTTTTTTATATTTGTTCTTTTAAATGTTTCTTGCTGTATTTTGTTCTCATTGTCTTTAAAGCATATAGGCTTTATTTGGGAAAGAAGAATAGAAAGGTAATTAAAAAGCACGTTTAGAGATTTTCTTTATGTCTTGAAAAAGCTAATACTAATTTTAAATTTACATTATATACATATCCATCTTATTTTGTCATTGCAAAAGCAAACCAAATCTGAGATTTTATCTTAAACACAAACATGTTTAATTATAACTACTCATTGAGAATAACAGACAGAAAACTGCATCTCAGACTTATTCTGAGATGTCTGGGATATCCACATGCATATGGCCTTTCAATAGATGAATGTTTGAGCTTGGCTTTTAAGAGAAGAGGGTCAGCCAGGCATGGTGGCACATGCCTTCAGTCTGAGCACCCAGGAGGCAGAGCCAGGCAGATCTCTGTGAGTTTGAGGCCAGCTGGTCAATAAATTGAGATCCAGGGCAACCAGAACTGACAGAGAAACCCCGTCTCAAGAAAACCAGAAAGAGAGAGAGTGAAAGAGAGAAAGAGTGAGAGAGTGAGAGAAAAAGAAGGTCAACATGAGATGCAGATTTGTAAACATTCAATATCAATTTGTTAAGTGCAATCTTGGGTGTAGAAATAGAAGTGCACAAGAAAATATGGAGTGAAAGGGGAGGTCAAGAAACATACGTAAGAATTACAAAACTAAAGGGAAGCAGAATGACAAGTAAGCAAGGGAACTGTAAGAGAGAAGTCAGAAGATAAGTGAGTGTGTGTGTCACAGAAACCAAGAGTGGGCATCTGTCTTCACTAATGTGAATTAACCATAAGTTTCCTTTGGGAGATTTAGTAACTATGGAGATATGTGGAAACACTAATTGGAGAAGTTCCAAGTTGGACATGGAACAGTAGAATTGTAACCAAGTGGAGATAATGGAAATCTCAGAGGACTGCTAGGAAGTCTGAATATGACTGAATGGCATATAGCATAATGCAGTGCCAGGATTATTGTGGAGCAGTGGGGGCATAGAGTGTAAGATTAGGTATGCTTACACATGTCTGAATGTTAGCAGTAATAAGTCACCAGAGAATTATAGATAATTGATGCTGAAAAAGCAAAATTTCATTCATATACCAAGTTCACAAAATCCAAGAGAATGGACTGAATTGAATGCAGCTGGAAAGAATATAAAGAATGGTAGCTGCCCTCTGTAATAAAAGGACAGGGGAAATGTTCAGGAAGAAACATATGATTTGTTGAGAAAGCCTACCGATGGTCTCTTTCATTAAGGAAATGAAAGGTAAACTCAGGGCAAAACAGGAAGAATCACCCTGAGATTGTAGTTGCTAAATAGAGTGAAGAAACTGATACCATAACCTGTGAACATATGATTATGCAAATACAAAATCTTTTACAGGCACCTTTGATTTTCTGAATGAGAATGCTGTCTAGTTTGTGGAGTTTCCAATGGGGGTAACTGTTCTGTCCCATCTGCTTTTGGAGTGGGCAAGGTTAAGCAAGATCTGTTTTGTGCAGAATTGGGTTTTTTCCAAAAAGGTGCTTAAAAATATGAGATACCTGAAGGTATTGAAAAGTTAGGTGGAGGTGATGGAAGAAGCAAGATTAAAGAGGAGCAATTATTGTGAGTTCAAGGGAGAAGAATTTCAGTGGACAGATGTACAAATGGAATGAGATAATATACATGAGTTGTGGATTGTAACTATGGATGTGTCAGATCTAAAGGAATCTTTGTGTTTGGAGCTGAGAAGATATAGTGATTTGAGAGCAAGTAAACTTAAATCTCTCATCCATCTAACTAATGAAAAAGCAGCTTTCCAGGGAACCTTCATTCACTGGTGAAACGAGTCTTCATTCTTCGCTATTTAGAAGACTAATAACTTTCAAGTATGTTCATGACACTGTGTTTAGAACAGCCATCTTTTATCAAAGCAATGGAATCTTTGAAGCACAAAGAGTTGTTCACAACATCAATTTCTAACTATATAATTTTGAGTCCTTACTAGTGAAAATTGTGGGATTTGTTTTTGCAGGTTATTTAAAAAAAACAATTAAATGTGTTTCTTCCTGGTATCATCTGTATAACCGTGCTAGGGAGAATTAGGCCATGTTTAAATTAGGGATTTCTCTGTGTGGTTTTGGATATTTCATGAGAGAAAATGAAATTTAAATTTTCTGTTCAACCTGAAGAAGATTAATTTTGAGATCATAAAAGAGCCTGGAACAATGAAGAAATGTTTAAGAAATAGTATCTCCCTTGTCTAGCCATAGGTACAAGCTTTTCTTTGCCTTCTTTTACCTGTTGATATTACATATTTCATAAATATATCTGTCAAATAAACAAAGGCAAGACAAAGAATAATGCAAATGGTTAAACAGATGAAAACAATGATTCCAAATATCTAAAAAAATCCCATCAATTTGTTGTAATTTGTTATATGCCCACTCTCTTATCTTAAATAGTTTGTAAAATATCAAAATCAATAAATAGCCTGACTCAAAAATAATTTTCTCTTCATATCAATTTGAGATGTTTTTGTACTTTACATTCCAATTTTTTGATATAAGTTTGGAAGACACAGATGTCTCCAGTTTGATGATTTTGTCTTCTGTGTCTCCTACCAGTCAAAAGAGAAGATGTGTGAGGGCACAGAGCCACTGGAGACTTCTCAAACCACCACGACCTCACACACAACTACCATGCAATTCAGGGTCCTGACCACCACCAGGAGAGCCATGACGTCACAGCTGCCCACCAGCCTGCCCACGGAAGGTGCTCTCAAGATTCTTTGCTTACTTTGATAGGAAAGAACAGATTACTCAGTAACCCATTTATACTCTAAGAAAATAGTAGTTTGGCCAATTAACTTTGCAAGATTTAGAATTACCATGGGCTGGAAATATATGCTAGAAGTCTTTACATACACTGTTAGTCTTCTTAAGCCTTAGCAATTATCCATAATCTGGTTTTTTGTTCCCCCTAAAGAAGAAACATTTGCTTCTTTTCATGTGACTAAATTTAGTAGTCATCAAGCTACATTCTGGATACAGGATTCAAAAAAACATATGCACATAAAATACCTTGATATGAAATCCTGATCAATAGATAATATTAGTCACATACAGTTATATATTTAGAGTTTCTGAATGCAGTCAATCACAAAGACATTGTGAACATCACAAACTTGTTCTTCAAGTGTACCTCCTTCTATGGAGAAGGTAAAGCTACTAAAGTGTTAACAACTAGGTAAAAATTCTTGAGTAGAGAAAATGTAATAGTCGTTATTTGATAATTTTTGGTACCATACGGTATAAGATGTAGGGGGCACACTATATTTGTTTAGGGAAGAAGATAATTTCATATCTATTGTCATAAGTATAGCTCTCTTTGGAATAGGAAGCTAAATTTGAAGCCTTGGCTTTTGATTGTAATTTAAGTGGATATTATAAAGTGAAATAGAGATAGAGGGCAAATGCCAAATGCAATGTTTATCTTAAAAGCAACATATATTTAAATTCAAATTATTTGGCTCATTATTCTAAAAATTGTGGGAAAATGCTTTAATTGGAACCCTAACTTTAATTGTGAAATGGAATAGAAAATTTTACCCCATGTTTATCTCTTCAAAAAAAATTTATCCATAACTGATATATGTATTGTTTTGTTTTGTTTTGTTTTGTTTTTCAAGACAGGGTTTCTCTGTATTGTTTTGGAGGCTGTACTAGAACTAGCTCTTGTAGACCAGGCTGGCCTCGAACTCTGCCTCCTGAGTGCTGGGATTAAAGGTGTGCACCACCAATGCCCAGCTCTGATATAAGTAATTTAAGATAAAACTTTAACCATTGTGAAATCCTAACTGTTCCTCTTAATTAGTAATATTTTCAGTCTTGATTTCAAGTACACGAAGTCCTATGCTAAGTTGTTTTAGGAAGTTAAAAATCTATTTCAATCATTAAATACAGTTTTTAAACATTGTCACAGATTTGAGGCTCAGACATGTTATTAATACCTTAGCCTAAAGAGTCTATATGAGACATTTTTATTGCTGCATCATGTAAACATGGGGCTTTATCTATCACCATGCTAGAATTTACTCTCTGAATTATAAAAGGCAAGTGTTTGAGGTAAGACAGTTAATTCAGTTACCCAGCATGAGATCTGTGCACCTTTAAAACCTTTTTGTGTTGTAATAACTCCTAACTTCTCTTTCAGATGACACAAAGATAGCACTGCATCTCAAAGACAATGGAGGTAGGACTGCATGCCTTTCTTCCATGAATACTTGTACACACTAATTCATTGTATTCATTTTAACATGATAAAGGGGCAAATGGGATTACAAAGACAGAATAGGGTTAGATTTACCATTTTGATTCGTGTTTAACATGTGAGGAATTCAGCGTGTTGGGCTAAGAAATGAAATTGCAATTCTGTGTTTGTTTATACAAATAAATTACATCAGCCATCATCTATGAGGTCAGAAAAATCATCCACATGTATTGCTGGGTTTTGTTGCCCTTGTTCTTAGGTCAGTGTATGTATAGTCATCTACACAGCTGCAGAAACTTGGTTCAAAAGTTGTTTTTTTTTTTTCCACTGAATTCTTTGGTTGGTTGCTTTGCACATACAATTAAAAAGTAGGTCAGTAAGAACGGAAATGTATTGTGATAGATCTTTTAATCTGTTCGATGGTGCAAAGGACAAAATTTAAATATTAAAAAGAATATCATACCAGTAACAAAGTTTGTCTAAGAGAACTTAGAAATGTCTATACTGGTACTTAAAGTTTTGAAGAAAAGGGTCTTTAACTAAACAATACCATGAAGAATATTAATTAACTTTTCAAAATGTATTTTCACTAAACTATTAGCTCATGGGTATGCTAGATATTGTTAAAAGTGTATTTTTATGAGAAATTCTTTATTTGGTTCAGAAATGGAGTGCTACACCTAATAGTGTCTATCACACAGATATGAAAACACTTTTATACTGTCCCATGCATGGGTTACTTCTGTAGTCTCTTTATGATTTACTAGCTGTAACACACTCAAGGGACTGAAGTAGTATAATTATGAGTTAACGATCAATCCCAGACAAGTAAGGAGAGATTTTTCTCAAAAATAACAACACAAACTGACAGAGAAGGGGAAAAGAAATAGATGATAGACAGAGATAGATGACAGATAGATAGATAGATAGATAGATAGACAAACATATAGATAGATGATTGATAGGCGATGAACAAATGATTGATAAATGATATAGTTGAGGCTGTTTCCATTTTAATTGTAGAAAATAGTTCCTAAGTTAAATAACCAGTGGTTGTGCATTCTGAGATCAATGCTTATGTGTACACAGCACAGAGTTTACACCAGCCCATCTACAAAAAAACAAAAAAACAAAAAAAACAAACAAACAAAAAGAAACAAAAACAACAACAAAAAAACAGTTTTACTTCTCTGTATGTGTCATTGCATCAGTTGCCCACTGTTTCATATTTGCCTATAGTGTTTTGCTACATTAATTTCTCATTTGTTATTATTTATTAAATCAGTAAATGGATGCATTTACAGATGGCCATTGTGTGTTACAGTTGTAAAAATCTAAAATGATAGATTTCAAAAGATGTTAGCAATTACCTAATCAAGATTTCCCAGAGAGGGATGCTAATAAGTACCTTTGATCCTAAGTCCTAAGATCTGGTCAACCTACTCTGGGATGAGGAGATATTGTATTCTGTGAAGTGGGTTGTTCATTCACACTGCTTGTCATTTGTTTCCCTATCCTCTTTCTATGTAAAGAAGGCATTCCCAAGAAACTTCTGGGTTTTCTGTTATATTTGTGGTGTTAAAATTCTTAACATAAGTAAAAGTTACTTCATGTTTGTTGTAATTTTCTTTCTTTATGTTTGTTTACTTATTTAATTTTAACCTGTTTAGAAGATTCTATAGTGTTAACAGGGGAAAAAAGAATTCCTATGATCTTTCATTAATAAGTATGAGATTCTCTAAGTGGAAAATTATTAAATATTCTTCAATGAAGAATTGTTTACAACCTTGGTTCATGTACTCATCCTTTCAATCTATTCTGCTGACTGCTTGCTATAGAAAGCACTGTTGCAGGCTTGAGGCTTATAACAGTGGGTGATTGTTAAACAAATTCTTTACTTTAGTGAATATGCCCTCCAAAAATCCTCAAGATGTTTGTAAAGATATTCTGTCTGGTGTTTCTCTATTATTTGGCTATAAAATTATCTTACAAGTAGCTTTTCACAGAATAGATGTTTTCTAGAATGCACATAGAAAGTAGATCTCTAAGGTATTACTAATTATTCCCACTAGCATCTTAGTTTTTTTTTTTTTTGTTTTATTTTTTGTTTTTTTGTTTCTTGTAAGCACAGAAGAAGCATATAACAAAATATATTCTTAAACTATGCATTAGAAATACATTGTGATGATGGTTCGGAGTAAATAAACCACATAATAAAAGCATGTCACTGGGCAGTGGTGGTGCACACACCTTTAATCCCAACACTGGGGAGGCAGAGACAGGTAGATCTCTGTGAGTTTGAGACCAGCCTGGTCTACAGAGCTAGTTCCAGAACAAATTCCAAAGCAATACAGAGAAACCCTGTCTCGAAAAAAAAAAAAAAAATGTATAATTTGAAGGTATCCTTGGCATCGAGGTTGTTGAACTTTTAAATAGCATTTAGATAAATTGACAAACAGGAAGCCAAGAGAATACCAAAATATCACAGTAATTGTGAACATGGTCCATGCCTCAGACTGTTTCAAGTGCAGTTACTATAGATCAATCCAAGCCCAAGCAAGCTGTGCCTCTAAGAATGTTTTCCTGCACACAGAGCTTAATTGACTTCCTGAAGAATATGCCATGCCAAAGGCCTTGGTGTTTGAGCCCCAGCACCACAGATAAACAGAAAGCACTTAGGAGGTTCAGGGTTCAGTTCCCAAAACTCAACCTTAGCAGGATTAAATTTGCTTGTAAAGCCAGATCCAGGGCATCTGACAGTTCTAATCACTCTGAACACCCATACATTTATACACATAACTAAAAACAATAGTTAAATATCTTTAAAGTAGTACATAAAGTTAGATTGTCTAGCATAAATAGAGACCCCTATTTCAATCACCAATACCACAAAAACAAAAAACAAAAAAAAAAAAAACAAACACAAAAAAAACAACAACAACAAAAAAAAGGAAAACAGAAACAGAATAAAAACAAACAAACAAAATAGGTTCCTAGAGTTCCACCGGGCAGAGTAGAGAAAGGAATCTATGTAGGAGTCTCCCTGTTGGTGATGGCTTTACAAAACTGGTTCTTCCTCACAATACAAGTCTCTAAGGTTTAACCTGAATATAAGAAATTCCAATAAGCTGTTTTATTTATACACTCTGCATTGCGTTTCTTTTCTGTATTGATTGATTATACTTAATGTTTAAAATTGAAATTTCCTTTTTATATAATCACACATTCTTCTCCATTGCATCTGTTCTTCTGAAAGCAATGGGCATCAATGCTTCTGTGGAAGTCACTGCATTCCAATCAGTGGCATCCAGTCTTAAGAACTCTATAGATATACCATGTTGATTATGTTCAAAATGTAATACAAGTTCTTTCAACCCAATTTTATTTAAAGTTCTGACTTCTCTAGAAATTCTTGTTTAACTCACCTGGAAAGAGGACCTAGATTATACCCTTGCAAAACATGAATATGTGGATAATGGTTATATGCATTGAAGTAAAGTCTCTTTCAGGTTTTCAGATCCTAGAGAAGGTTTATTAGAAGAAACATACCTTTTAAGAATGTCTGAACTGTATATATTAGTAGGCATGACTACTAAAGGCCTTTTTGACATTTGAATAAGTTGCACTCACCACCTAATTAGAGATATAACTGCCTTCAGGATGCAAACTGAAGATAGTTATCCAGGACACAGAAGAGGTTTGCTAGCTGAATCAAGGGCATGATTTTTAATTGAAACATAACAGTTTCAATCAGACTTCAACTCAATTTAGTTAACCTAACTATGATTTTCTGCTGTGCTGCAAATGGGAAATTATTTCAAACTCCATTAGCTTGAAAAGATTTTATTATTTTAAATTGATTATCAGATCTATCAAAGTACCCAAATTGTATTCTTTATTGATTGCCTTGGAGGTCTTTCTATTTGATTGAGTTGAATTTCTTTTTAAAAATGTTTGGGCATGCATATTTAATTACCAATATTTAAAGTTAGTCCTGCCCACAATCCTGGGATAGAATACACTGCCAAGGCTGCCATTCCTTCTTATTGCTGGAAATTTACCAAACTTGGAGCACAGAAGCCTGACTTTTCTAAGGGAAGATGCAATGGCTACATCACAGCATGTTGATTAACTTAATTCAGGAGTGAATGTCTCTAGAGTGAATGATTGTTAAAAACCAACAGAGAGATAAGCTTTGATGCTGGCTCCTGTGGCTGGTTAAACTCAAGCTCTGTTTTGTTCAGTTTCCTGTTTCTGAACTTAATCTCCTAAGATGTTTTGTCTGGAAATGAATGTTAGAGCAGGACCTGGACTTTCACAAAACTGCTTCTGAGATCCTATTTTTTGTTTAGTCTGTTGTGTCAAGCCTCTACTGTTACATTTATCCCTCAGTCAAATTATTTTTTGTCTCTCATACACAAATCATCAAAGCAACATGTCCTTCACTGTGTTTGTGTTGCCTTGTTGTGTTTTTCATCTACTTCCTTTGTGTAGATCACAGTCTCAGAAGCAAAGGAAGGCTGTTATTTGCTTTTGACAGGCTATTGAATTTCTATCACCTTCTGCTTGGAACATTGTAAAATATCTTGGCATTTTGTTTTATCTTTTCATGCTAGCCCTAACTCTATTCTGAGCACATATCTAGTGTAATAATGAAGGCTTTTTATGTTTTGGATGTTTTGAGAGTGTCCTATGATTAAGGATTTCTCTCCTTAACTATTTTAAAGAGTTGTAGTTCTCATCTCTTTGTGTATAATAAGCCCAGGTGATTATTTGCTAATTATATTATTCAGGCTTACATAAATATTCTAAGCTGGGACTGTCCTAAATCAATCCAATTTTAACCTCTAGGCTTAGGTCACAGAGGTTAATATTTCCACATTTACAGTAAAGAGTGCTTTGTTCAAAACTTCATCAATAATATAGAACATCAGAAGCATTAGGCTAGGAAATCTTGTTCAAATATATACTCCTTAGCAAGG